ACAAGGCTTTAGGCCCGTACGAGTGGGAGGATAAAGTTGATGTTGCCTGGATTGAGAACCAACATGGGAAGGCGACACAAAGGCCCAGCGAAATGGGTAGATCAGGTGACTAGAAGGTGTCGGTTGATTGAATTTTTTCCCATAATCACTTGACCGTATTAATCGCAGTCATGGATTTTATTTTTAATCTAATGATGGAAAGTTATAGAGATTAACGAGGCTAGTAAAATACCATATATAAGTGTATTAAACAGAATATTAACTAGTTAATGAGTAGTTTTAATATCATTTCATCATATATTAAAAAAATTAATTAATATAGGAGAAAAAATGGCAAGCAGACCGAGAACAAGACTTCTTCCGCTGGTGGAATAACTTATACCAAAGATAGCCTTTATACATTATTTCCTTCATTTGTGCTCAAAGAGAAAAAGGATTTTGTTGCCTATAAGTTCAATGCAGTAAAGAGGGTTTGTAATGCAAGTACTATCAATTTATATTGTTAGTAGTGGTACTATTAGTATTTTTTGTACATATTGTTATTTTTCATTTAGAGTTATTTATTTGTAGTTTCATGAACAAAATGTACAATTGTAGCTATGCATATTCTTTTACTTTCATATTTCTATGATAAAAAGCTAATATATATATATGGTGGCGTATTCAGTGCAACCACATTTTTGGGTGCACTCAGTGCACCCGCCTCATAATTTTCATTCTGAGCATGTGATCCTTGTCAAAACGGTATCAATTGTTGCTTATGATATTATGAACAAGAAGCACATGAATTTGAAAAAAAATCATTCAAAATTTACTTTAATTTGAAAGATTTAGGATTTGGGGATTTAGGGTTAGGGTTTAGGTTTACAATTTGGAATTTTGGGTTGGGATTCAAAATTGAAGGTTAAGAGGTTAGGGTAATAGATTGATTTGTTATGATTATATCTCATATCATCATATTAGATTGAGAGTACTAATTAAAATTCAAAATTTGATATACTATTGACACTTTTAGAGTTGGGTGCACTCAAGTGAGTGCGCCGAAGTAGCCACCATATATATATATATATATATATATATATATATATATATATATATATATAATTTATAACAAAAAAGTGTTTCACAATTACTTCTCTAATTAATTATATATTAATATTTTTTCTATTCAATGACTTACAAATAATAAGGTACAATAATACAATTTGTAGGTAGAAAAAGAAGAAGAAAAGGGACAAAGGAAAAAAGAAGATGGAAGTGAGTCCAAAGTGCTTAGCAAACACCCATACATTGGATTGCCTGGGGCGGATCTAGGAGCGTGTCACTACCAGGCCATGGTCCAGTCTTCATCGGATACAGAGCTAGTATTGTCTTTGTTAATTTTCGATTTTAGATATTCGTTTCAGCATTTGATGGGTTACGGTCCAGTCCCCTCCACCTCTTTTCAAATTTGACTCAGTGCTCTACCCTATCCTGAATTTGCCGCTGTCATATTGCCACCTCCTCATCTCATTTAATTGCCAATTCTTACGGATGGAGATGTTATTAGGAAATTGCATCTCGACATGTAAGTATGTTTCTGCGATGTTCAGTGATGATGTTTGCATCCTGTAGCTTGTATTTTGACAATTCAACGACTTCAATACGGTGTTCGTGCTTGGAGATTCTTACATCAAGATCCTCAAACCCTTATGAGGTTATTATTAACTCACGTTTAGGGCTGCAAATGAGTTAAGCTGAGCTGAGTTTTATTCCAGCTTGATCTTGACTCGATAACAAATGAGCTGAGCTCGAGCTCGAGCCATTTATTAACGAGCCGAGTCGAGTCGAGTTCGAGCTAGGCTTGTTTATTAAATTCTTAGATCGTAACGATAAAAAAATAATCAAATGTTCAACATTAATTAATCTTATATTATTATTTGTAGGTGGCATATTGTTTAGTTAATAAATTTTAACTAGTTCAAATCATGTTATTTCATAGTATCGAAACAATTTTGTACATAAATTCTTTATGAAATTAAAAATAAGGCATATTTTCTTACATGTTAAACTTCACATGATGTGAGATATATAATTTAACGATTCTATGAATTATGAAAGTCCAAATTAGATCAATTCGTCCATAAGTCGGTGATCAAATTGTCTCTCAAACCACAATGTTGAGACATCTCATGAGCTCTAACTGAGCCAACTCACGAGTGAGCTCAACAAGCCACCGAGTCGAGCTAGCTCGCGAGCTGAACAAAGTTAAGTTCAAGTTTGGCTCGTTAATAAACGAGTCGAGTTTCGAACTAGTTTTTCCCGATTCGAACCTCGAATTGCTCGCGAGTAGCTTGGCTCATTTGCAACCCTACTCACATCTTCCAATTTGCATCTCTTCGTATATAAAGTCATGTTCTTACATATTGACAACTTGCACCATGATGATGTTGTGTGATGTTAACTCGGAAATTTTTAAAACTTAATTACACCATGTTCATGTCATCTCCAATATGTTGCCTTTTGCACCTCCAGTGATTTGCGCAGGATCAGTTAGCTTGCTAACTCCTCTATGAGGTTGTAGGGGTGGGCAACGGGAAACGGGTATTTGGGTATACCCGTACCTGTCTCGTTTTTTAAGGGTTACGGGTACACATATTACCCGTAATATTTTAAACGGATGGGACTTGGGATTGTACAGTCCTAATATGGGTACCCGCGGGTTACCCGCGAATACCCGTTTGGGTAATATGGGTACCCGTTGTACCCATTCAAATTACAAAGACATATTTAATTCAGCCCATGCGCCCAGGCCCAACCCAATTCAAAAATCCATTTTCGGCCCTTACCCACTGAGACCGTGAGAGTTGAGACGCACCCCTAAGCCCTAGCAGACGCGAGTATCCCAAGATCTTGGGCTTAAGTAATGGCGAAGTAATGGCACTATGGCAGTGGGGAAATGGCAGTGGGTTTGCCTTTTGGGATGTAAATGTCTTTAGCTAAAAAGTTAGTGAGGAAAATGAATGATTGTGTTTTGAAATGAATGCTTTGGATGTAATTGACTAATTGTCTTTAGGTAAAATGTCATTTAAACTTTGGGTATTTATGGGTAGTATGGGTACCCGTTATCCGTCCCGTACGGGTAATGGGTACCTGTTTCCCATATGGGTTTGGGATATGGGATGGACTTTGGCCTCCAAATGGGACTGGGTACCCATTTAAAACGGGACGGGTATCCCGTCCCGTCCCGTTGTCCACCCCCATGAGGTTGGAAAAATGACACCTCTTATTAATTATAGTTAATTATGTTATTAAATTTATGTTGCATTTAATAATCTTTGGAAATTAAAAACGCATATTAATTACATTCCTTTTTTTAACTACCATTGCACTGATACAACTATCATTCACCTATACACTGAACTCATATTAATTACATTCTTTTTTTTTTAACTACTATTGCACTGATACAACTAGGGCTGGTAAACGGTTTTGCGGTAGCCGGTTTAACCGGTTACCGTACCGGTAACCGACGGTTACCGATTAAACCGGCTACCGTACCGGTAACCGACGGTTACCGATTCAACCGGTAACCGAGCATAACGGTATTCGGCTGGGGATCGTGATGCTGGCGGTATGCTGTTACCGAGGGAGGAACTTACCGTCGGCAGGTCGGTAATCCGACACCGACTGGGAAACAAAACCTAATCAAGCGCCAAGGCCCATAAGGCCATAATTTGCATCCCTAAAAAGTAAAAACTAATTGCATCCCTAAAAAATCCCTACGAAGTACGAACGATCTCCATTCGTAAAAAATCCCCTGCGCGGCTGCGCCAGAGTGACTGCTGCACGCCTGCACCGTCCACGACCGCCGTCCGTCGAAGCTCTGTTTCCGTCGAAGCTCTGTTGCCGTCGAAGCTCTGTTTCCGTCCGTCGAAGCCAGTCACCGTCGAAGCCCGTCGTCTCCGTCGCTAGCGCGCCTGCACCGTCCACGACCGCCGTGCGTCGAAGCTCTGTTTCCGTCGAAGCTCTGTTTTCGTCGAAGCTCTGTTGCCGTCGAAGCTCTGTTTCCGTCCGTCGAAGCCAGTCACCGTCGAAACCCGTCGTCTCCGTCGCTAGCGCAAGCGCCTCCACCCAAGTATTACTGTGCAACTCTTGACTCAAGTATAAATGTATAATTCATTATTCACTTCACTTTAGTCTTTTTGGAGTATTGACATATATAAATATATAATTGACATTGTTTTTGGCTTTTTGCTTTCGTCTGCTTCTCTTGACTCTTGAGTCATGAGTAGCTCTCGGACAGAATGACAGGTCGCAGGCGGACAGCGGACAGCGGAAAAGGCGCTTCACTGCAGCTCTCTCCTATCGGTATTACCGAGCAACTTACCGACACCGAGCGGATCGGTAAACGGCATACCGAGCCCCTGCCGGTAACGGTTTGCGGCTGATGCTTGGGTGATTTCGGTAATACCGAAACCTGTAAAATGGTAAACGGTAAACCGGTTACCGTACCGTTTACCAGCCCTAGATACAACTACCATTGCACATGTACACTGATATCATTGCAGTGGTAGAACTACCATTGCACTGAAAAAAGGAAAATAATTAATATGGGGTTTTTGTTCAGACAGATTATTAAATGCAACACAAATCAATTACCTTAAAATCCTATAATTAATAGGGGGTGTCATTTTTCCAACCCTTTTAGGGGCAGTCATGCTATCTCACCCCCTTAAACTAGTTCCAGGTCATCGAACTACAAAAATAGGCATGTGGTATTCAAGGAGAAATAAATATCAGGAGTACATACTTGTCCAATCAAAATTTTAAGGGTAAATACTATTTTTTAGCCAAACCTTTTCCTCATTTTGTAATATTAGCTAAAACGATCGAAATAATAATTATTAGCCAAACGTTTTGTAATGTATCGAAATATTAGAATTAATTCTATCACCGTTAATTCTTTGTTAACAGTGTTACGGCTCAGCAAACACGTCAGCTTCCATGTCTGATATCATTAAAACATGGTCTTTCATTTTTGCTTTTAATTTTTAATTTTAATAATATTCTCTTTCCTCTTCTCTTTTAAACCCACGAAGGGAGATCGAATAGGGCTTGCTGGGAAAACCCTCGCGGTGAGAGAATCGATTCTCTATCCTTGTCGTCGCCGTGCAAAGCCTCACCGTCGTTGTCGCTAAGCCCTGCCACCGACGTCGTAGGGCCTCGCCACTGCCGTCGTGTGGCCTGGCCATAGTCGTCTCTTCCCTTCAGCATCCGTATCCACCAAAAGAACCAGAGAAACAAGAAGAGTCACAAAAGCCATAAGCACCAGAGAAGCAAGAAGCAATCGAGGCAAAATATGGGTTCGATTTTCGATTCTCAATCAAAGAAACTGAACTGAACTTATTTGATCATCAATCCCAGTACTTTCTTCACTTTTCGCAAATTGATCAAGAAACCTTAAAATTACAGAGAAGGTTCGATTTTGAAGAAAGGAATTTGTAATCAAACCAAAAATTTCGAAAGGGGTAGGGTTCAAATCGAAAAACTAGAACCACCTTACCTTGCAAAAGATTGGCGAATGATTGAAGTGTCTTTCTCTCTTCATCTTCAGCTGGCTTCGTCGGGTGGAGAAGGGGGAACAGGGGAGAGAACAGAGGAGGGAGGTGATAAATCGGGGGTTGGGTTTTTTTCTTTTCTTTTCTTCTATTCTTAAATCATTATTTTATGGGTTTAAATTAAAACCAAATTGATCCCTACGTGGATTCCAACTCAGCATCCTCATGCTTAGTCAACAATTCTAACGGAGATGTTAACGGATAATTAACGTTTGACTAATAATCAGTATTTCAATAGTTTTGGCTAATATTACGGAGTGAGGAAAAGGTTTGGCTAAAAAATAGTATTTACCCAAATTTTAATGTATAATTTCTAAATGGTCATGGAACTAGTTCAAGGTCATCGAACTATAAAAATAGTCATGTACGTGGTATTCAAGGAGAAATAAGTATGAGGAGTAAAGATCTTATCGGATCAATAGTAGATCCATGATAGGATATAGCACTGGACCACATTTGAAAAGAGGCGTAGAGGGTTGAACCGTAACCCAATAACTACGAAAACTAATACTACCTAAAATTGAAAATTTACAAGTACTATACTAGCTTTTCAGAAAAGGACTGAGCCGTGCCCTGGAACAACCATCTTGGATCCGCCACTGGATCGAATGTGGCAACTAACACCTCCATTTCACCTTCTCCCCATGCTCAAATCTGACATTGACTTGAATAATGTCAAACCGGATATGTATGGGAATGAGGGAAATTTGCAATCCCTACTTATCGGCCGAACCTCTATGAAATGAAAGTCAGACATGGGAACATGTGAAGTCTGGTATATAAGCAAGGATGTCGGCGGTGGTCTATTGCAGCGGGGAAACCGGGAAAGGATTGGTGCAATGGTGAACGGCGGTGGTCTTATCACGTCTGGAACTTTGAACTAAAAGCTGCTTGACTTTAACCTTCACTACTTTAGTGCCACTTCTTCTATGGAAGGGTTTACCATAATCGGGAAGTGAACGGAAAAGGGTTTAACTGCAACCAAAAGAAGTGCTAGTACGTGGAAGTACTACCCTTTATTTTTACCTGGTGGTTCCAGTCGTGCCTATGCAATATCAAAGTTGTCAAACCGGTTTATACCGTTGCACCAGTTTAGCGAGTCGAATGGTATGACTAGTGGTACAACCGGTTCATACCGACTTAATATAATACAACATTCCAAATAAAATAACAAATACTCATATTTAAATACATCATTTAACGTCAATGCTTACACGTTTATACCCGAATTCAACAAATTACATCAACTTTTAACTTTTATATTCATAAAATATATAATAAATATGTTGTTTATTAATTAAATTCACTGAAATGATATCATTTTACCTAGAGTTCGTAAATTGATCATGTCAGTCATATCGACGGTGTTTATACCGATTTCATGCCATCGATACCGGTTGAACCAGGTTCAATCGTCCAGCATGACAACCATGTACAATATAGATCACAAGGAAATGGGCCAAGCCCAGGGGTTTTCTTTTAGGGGTTCAGGTAACCGCTGCCGGGCTTTTATGTAATTTGCTTTTGCCAGCGAATGATCCAGCGGTTCATACACCCGCTGAGAGCCCAACAAAATCCAACAACATAATATTTTTTTCCTTCGAAAACAAGACCATTTTTACCGAAACCCAATTTTCACTCAGTGGACAAATTATCGTGTTCATACTAATTCCTATCCAGCTATGACAAAAAAAAAAAAAAATCCTATCCAGTAGGAGCTCTCCTCTCGCCATCAGCCGTATTCTCCGATCCGTCGACCTTAAACTCCGGCGTGTGAAGCCGTTTTCTCCTCTCGTCAGCTGTATTCTTAAATCCTAATCCTCTGATCGATCATGGATCGCATTCCATCGATTTCTTCTGGTACTCTCTGAACTTGATTTCTTCTGGTACTCTCTGAACTTGATTCCGAAATCTGATTTGTGCATGTAGATTGCTAGAAATGCAGTGCGCGAATCAGAGGCAAGATTTGGCCTCCGTTCTTCTCATTTTCATAGATTGATTTCCTAAAATGATCTATGCAATTCCTCCCGATGTCAACAACAGCCAGCCATCTCGGATTTCGTCGACTTGTAAGTCCATCCCTCTTCCTCTTTCGTTAAATCTTTGCTCTCACTAGTAATAGATAAGTTCAACCGTTTGTGTGCATGGAAGCCTCTGCTGTTCTTCTTTCCAAATGATAGAATTGAACCCTATCTCCGGTAGGGTTTCAGAAGCAACATTTTGCCCCCTCTATTTTCTTGCTGCTGCTGTATTTTTTTGCCAATTAGTATTAATTTAGTCCAATTTGCTTTTGTTACAGGCTAACAACAGAAGTGGTGGTTGTTATTAACTTGTACAAGGATTGCTTGTGGAGATTGGATGATTGGTTATGTCATACAAATAGAACTATGCTAATGGGTTGTGGATGTTGGTAGAATCTGGGTGAGTGTAAGGATTCCTTAATTGGACGTAATATCCTTGAGGTTTAAGTTGTATCTGCTTAGTGTGTTTTTGTTTGCTTCTGTGGAAAATCAAGTTTAGTTTTAACTTCGTTCTTTTGTATTCTAAGATTTGGAGTAAGGACTCATAATTCCAAGTTTCCCTTCTGCAGTTCCATTTTGAGCAAAGTAAAGTCACATCTTGAGGTACTATGCTTTTTATCTTACTCTACTTAATCCATGAATATTACTTTGTTCAAGTAACATATGAAATTTCTAGCATAAAACCTATAGTTTCATATGACTGATTTATGACCGTACTGATCCCTGGCTTTGATTCTAGAATCTCTTAGGTTTATCACTACACTACAGTTGCAATTCGTTGATTAGCTGCTAAATTAATCATGTTTTGAGTACCACCAGCTAGATAAGTGTGAAAACTGTGATTTGACTACATGTACCCCTGCTAAATTAACTCTGATATTGGTAAAAGTGACAGGAACCTGGTAGTACTGTGATTTGGCCATAGCCGAAGGCTGGAAGGAGCTGATGGAGCTTGCCGGTCAGATGTCGGAGTCCAATTTTAACTCTTCCTCAAAGACATCGTGAACCAAAGGACGAAATATTTGGTTCTTATTCTATCCTGTTCAAAGGAGAAAAAGGGGTCAATTAGTACTAACTAATCTGACAATGTAGACATGCAAAAAGGAGTTGAAGAAGATGAAAGCGCGGAACAGTTTTGGGTTTGGCCAGAACCTTGGGTCAGTTTTGCACTCTCCTGTGGAAGCTAGTCACCACCTGTTGGACTGTTATCCGCTGAACTTTGCACTTGATGTGCCTCTGTCAAATGGGTATTTGGATAGCTATACTTCACACAAAACAAGATGAAATCACACATGTAGAACTTTCTTCAGAACTGCAGGTATCTACACCAAGCAATGATTTACTATGTGCTTTGATTTTCGTTCGTACACTATTTATTACTACATGATTTGCAACAGGGCAAGTACATGCTCCAGACAAGTCATTGGCGACGTACGTGTCGTTCGTGGGGAGTTTCGACCACAGGACCGAGCTGGACAGGAACATCAAACGAGAGGATCCGCGGTACAATCCCGCGCTCGTGATAATGGCGGCTAAACTTTCGTACGAGAGCAGAAGTTACATTGAAACAGTTGCCAATCAGCAGTGGCAGGTAAATTACCAACGAAATATTTGTACCCCTCTGAATCCTGAGTCCTGACTTTGAAATTATCTTCCCGAGTCCTCCACTTATCAATAGCTAAACTCTAAGCTTTGGTTTCCCTTTACACAGTTGAATTAGAAGTTTAGCATCAGCTTAATAAACAGTGCATTCTCTATCAGACTCATGTATTCTCAGGCCAGGATAAATGTGTCGCCTTCTTACTAACTACCATATGAAGTCTCCTGCTAAGGTGACTTACAATGGTTTGCACTATTACTTGCCTCTTTGGTCCATCAGCATCCTTTCTTATTGTAGACATGTAGCTTCCAAGTTCCAACACTGCCACAGTGAGTAACCTTCTTAATAAGCTTTCTCTGCAATCAAGGTACTTAAACTATAGATAGAATCGAAACACCAAGATAATTGCAGAACCATAAGTTGTGCGGCCCCAATGATATTTCATGTTTATCTATCTCAAGAGCTAGATTTTCTTGGTGGTGAAAAAGCTAATCAGCTCATAAAGCTGTTAATGTGTAGGTTGGAGTTAAGGCATCAAATGTCCAAATGTTGCCAACCGGTACTAGATTGATGTCGTGGGAATCTTACAAGGAACATATGAATTCTCTTGAAGATAGCTGGAGGATGACGGCTCATGGGCTCTTAGAGCAGATCAATGTCACTGGAGATACTAGCTAGTCACTCTCTGTGGTACATGACCAAGTGAGTTTTGGTTTGCTGTAATAGTCTAAGAAAACCTCGAATGTTCTTTCTTGTTGAGTATCTTCTCTACTTCCAGCGTCCACATCGGACTATGAGAATCGTTTCTCCACGGTGGACCTAAGCCAAGCCTCAGTGTGCAATCACCAGGACATGCCCTCCATGTTTTCATCAATGAACACCATTTCGGTAAGCTAATGTAGTTTGAACTTTGTTATGGCTATTGTAGTTATGTCTTGATTCAAATTCTGTGCTTTACGATTCCAACTGGTTGCTTTTAGGGCTCAGAATTTGGTTTCCGATTATGTAATCCACGTATTTCAATGAGGTAAGTGCTGCTAATTGCATTTTCAAAAAATTGCAATAAGTTAATATGACTGCTTGTAACATTTATTCCCTTAAAGTGCATTGATAAAATGGATGACAGGGAGGAGAATATAATTGGCAGTGTCTCAGAGAACACTCAAGCAAAGGTGAGCTTCTTCCAACTCAGTAAAATGACGCTACTAAGCTTGTGAAAAGGTATTATTGCTTTATGTAATCATTCTTGAATCTGGTTTTGGGATGCACCATTCACATTCGTCTTAGTTCTTAAAGCTAGGTTTGAGCACTAAATTGCACCAACTAAAAAACTTTGTTGTTTCTTCATTAATCACATTCAGGAAATGTGGCATGAGTCTTGATTATTTCTATGAAATATAAAGTAGTGTAATGATTTATGTGTAGCATTGTCCTAGGTTGGAAGCAGTTATCTCCAATTTTTATATGCGCAGTTTTGAGATCAAGACTTTGTTTCTTCAGCTAATAGCAGTTATGAGAATTAAATTTGTTTTTCTTGGCTTTGTAACAGGTTAAGATGACACAATACATGGCATGAGTGATTCAGAAGAAAGCAAGGGCTCTATATTATGGATCTTGCTGGAACTTTTATTTTACTTTAATTATTTTCTTGCAAAATTGGTGGTTGTTGAGTTTCAAACAAGTACAGATATTAATGGTTAATGTGGTATGGATATTAATGGTTAATGTCGCTTTTGAAAGTTAATGTGATAATGAATATTCAGGTATTTGTGCAAAATTATGAGAATCTACTTCTTAATGGTTTTAGTGACAGTCGTTCCGAAACCGTCGCTAAATTTAGTCTTTAGCGACCGCTGGTGGCACTTACCCGACATTTGTGGGAAATGACAACAGCAATTGTGACCGCTGCTGGAACCGTTTCAAAAACTTCCACCAGGGGTTCCGCTGACCCCTGGCAAAACTCTGCGGCGGTCATCCTAGCGGCGGGTTTGCAGCACTTGTTGTAACCGCTGGCGGGGTCCTTAGTGGCGGTTATTTCTGCCGCAAAAAGCTCAAAAAACCCCAGCCATATGTGATTTATTTTGTAGTGAGAGTCCGGTATTGATTGAAAAGAAGGGTTTGTTGATTGACATCATTGCAGAATTCAGTATTCCACAGGTGAATTAAAACAAGGGAAATGCCGAAATGGTAATAAATGCAATAGAAAAAAGTTAATACGGGTCGTACTGCAGTAACTATCTACACTAATTATTGCTGCGCAAGAACAATCAAGTTCGACAACTATCTTCTGGAACTGCCATTGAAAGCTCCAAAATTGAAGATAGTAATGGATGGGGTGGTTTTGTTTTTCTTCATTCAAATATTATTGATGTTCAAAGTCCTTTTACCCTGTCAAACAAGCAATCGGGGTTAGTAAAGTTTTGGGGATTCAGATCTTTCATGTTGGTCAAATTCCCATCGAGACATGATTGGACTTGTCGCTTTTTCACCACAAGATTTTTCTATCACAACTTCAGTGCAGTCAATGCATAATTAAGCAGTGCGGAAATCAGGGTAATTGAACAAAATAAATGTTTACCTTTTACTGATAGTTTTTCTTTTATAGTTATTATCGAAAGCTCAATGCATCAATACATAACTAAGCAACAAGGAATTTAGGGCAAGTGGGCACAATGTTTTGTCTTTATACAATGGCAAAATATACTTTCTTAGTTACAACTTTCACGTTTATGACAGATATAGTTACAAATTTTGAAATAAACGAAATAATCACAATTTTTATAGTTGTTTGACAATTCTAGCCATTTCCGTTACAAACTTTAACGGTGTTAGAGATTCTGTTAGTTAGGTTAATGACACGTTGACTAGGATGCCAAATTGAACCACACGTCAGCGACAACTCAACCTCACTTGCCACGTAGATGCCACATCATAATTTTCTTTAAAAATATTTTAGGCAAATACACTTTCATATCCACAACGTTCACGTTTGTGACAATTATAGCCACAACTTTTGAAATACAAGAAAAAGCCAGAACTTTGATGTTTTTTTTTATAAATCTAGCTATTTTTCGTTACAGACTTTCCAAATACACGAAAGAAAAAAGACACTTCCATAGCCACAACTTTCACATTTATGACCGTTATAGCCACAACTTTCGAAATAAATAAAATATGCCACTTTCGTCCATCCCTTTAACGGTGTCAATTGACAATGACGAATATATCAAGCTTCACCGGAAAGTTGTGGCGATAAAAGTATATTTTTCTATTTTTTGTTAATCCACGTGGATAGCCACTCAGCACTTTCGTCAGTCCAGTCATACTATTAAGTGACACTTTTAAAAGGATGGATTGAAATGGCTATTTTGTGTTTTGAAAATTGTGGCTATAACTATCACAAACGTGAAAGTTGTGGCTATTAAAGTGTATTTTGCCTTATACAACTGAACACAATGCTTACCATTATATTTGGCAATGCAAATTTGAGAGGGCTACAAATTGAGATGAAAATTGCTGGAAGTTGTAAATTCTAGGGGCGTAAGTGAAAGGAGAAATTGTTGTTTATTGAGAAAAAACATGAAGTGCAATTATGCTGAAAAGTAATTTAATTTAACTTTTATAATATTTAAGATATTCAAAATATTAATAAGCATGCTCAAATAAAAATAAGTATTAAGATAACAATTTTCAAATAGTAATTAATTAGAACTATTTTGATCAAAGTCCAACTCGTGGCCAAAGCAAATAGCTAGCTCATATCATTAGGGCTGGGAAAATAGACCAGACCGTTAGAAAAACCGTGGTCCAAACCGTACCGCACAGTTTGGTCTGGACCGTAGACCGTGAAGTATGGTCTGGTCTGGTCCATGGTCTGTATTACTTTATGATTTGATCTCTTGGTCTGGTCTAGTCTAGACCGCGGTTTACCGGACCAAACGTGGACCCAACTGACTTGTCAATACGTGTTAACAGCCCATTCGACCACTCTCCAAACTCCCACAACGACACCCAAGTCTCAACCTTAATTTTGTGAATCTCTTCCCTCCTTCATTCACAACCACATTTAACCAGAGAGTAGAGATAATAGTGTCTCCATATGACATTATGTTAATGTTTATGACGTTATGGTGCAAGCTGGAATGTTTTTACTTTGTATCTTTGTTATGTACTAAGATTTAGAGTATCAAAATTATTCATGCATGTTAGGATTAATGTTTTAAGGCAAATAACAATTATTTTTCTAGGTTATTTGTTCAATTTTTTGTGTGATTGACTAAACAAATTATTCATTTTTCGTTGAGTGTGGTCTATCTGGACCAGACCAGACCGAACCAGACCGCACAGGCGTGGTCTGGACCGGACCGTATAGTATGTGGTCTGGTCTGTGGTCTATACTTTAGCCTCTCGGTCTGGACCATAGACCGTATATATGGTCTGGTCTGGACCAGACCGCACCGTTTTCCAGCCCTACATATCATCAACTCGGTTAAACCAAGGTGAAACCAACATATTAAATCGGATGTGAAAAAGTGTGTTGTATTATTATTTATAAATAGGAAAAACATAGTAATAGGGAAATTATGTTAAATTATTATAAACACATGTTTCTTTATTTGTTTTCACATTTTCTCCCTAAATTAGTTAAGATATAGGTAACCAGTTCGTGAAGAGGGAGTGAGAGCATAACAACGTGTATTATACAAGAATTCGGAATTGAAAGCATGAAGAGAGCATTATTTTTATATTTATAGTGCATTATTCATAAATAATTCAGAATGTGATTAATACTAAAATATGGTTTGGTTATGGTAAAAAACATATTGAATGGCAGAGATTGACATGGAAGAGATTCAATGGCCATCTTTGCAGGGGGAAAGAACGGAAAATAGGAGAGAAGAATTACAAGTCCACCCCTCAAAAAAGGAAGGGGCTGGTAGAATTACAAGTCCACCCCTAAAAAAAATTGTTGTGAATTAATCTTGGTCACTAGATGGGGAATGAGATTGAAGATTGATGATATGATTTTATAGTGATTTTGTAGGATAGAGTTTTGTACCTTATCATTTCTCCTAAAATAGTACATATAAAAAGTGACCTTACAATAAAGTGAATTTTGTTTGTTTTAATTTCACTAATAATATAAATCTGATACTTATAATAAATATTTATGGTTTGGGTTAGGTACAAAACCAATAGTTTAGTAATCCTACAAAACCACAACCAATGGCCAAGATTGAGAGGAATGAAATCCAATGGCCAACTTTGTAGGGAGTTAAAAGGGAAAGTGTGAGAGAGGGAAGAGGGCTGGCATAGATTTCGAGGATGTTATTAAGGTATTTTCCAAATCTCAGAGGTAATTTCAATGGACCATAGCTTATTCGTTTTACATAGGATTTCACAAATTTTTGCATAGATAAATAAAAAATTTTGTGTTTTACATGTTGATACTCATTTTGATACTTTTGGAACAAAAAAAAATTCAGATCATCATATCATTGTCAATGATAATATATTAGGGCTAATAATAATTCGGTAATCGGTATACCGTATGTTGAAGTTATAACGACCGACTACTGATACCGGATTGTAACCGATATACCAATTTACTGGATATCCGGTTTTCGGTTATAAACCCGGTTATCTAAAGAACTCTCACCTCAGTTGTTGTGTTCTTTCTTTCTTTCTACTTCTTTTCTTTTTTCTATCATCGCTCCGTCACGGCGTCACCCACCACTCTCCAGTCGATTTCTCCTTCCTTCTTCTCCAATTAGTCTTCTTCTCCGACCATCCATTTTCTATCTTTTCCGTTACCCACCCAATTCAGATCTGCCACGAAAAGAGGGAATCAAACATTCTCTCAACCTCATCTTTTCCTCAAAGCTCAAATCGAGCAACGGTAATCAAGATGGAGAAAGAAGTCCAAAGCCCAATCATCGGAAGTAGCGGTGATGGAGATGGAGACGTCATCGGTAAAAAAGAAGAAAGTTCAGTTCTACCTGGGTATGGTTGGAAGCGGGAAGCTCTGTTATCTCTGCATCCATTCCAATAAAATCTAGCTGAACACAAAATCAATCTATATGGGGATTGGGAAAGATCGTGTTTGCTTACCTAGGTATGGTGCATGTCGTCGGCGAGAGAGGATTCCAGGTTGCAACCACTACCACCAACTTCCGCGATGCCATCTCCCACGCCTTCCTCCTCACTTGGGTAGTGTTTGAATTTGATTGAAATTTTAATTATTTAGAAACCCAATCCAATACAATCGATTAAATCCAATGATTGCATTGAGTTATATTTTCTTGTGGGTGGATGCATAGACATTTTCAACGTGTTGGCTTAACTTTTGGAGCCAGCAATTGGTGAGTTCTGAATTACAATATGATGTCGCTGTATTTGTTCGATGGTGGTGGTGGCAAGGAAGAAGTAATTCCCGGCGAAAAGCCGAAAATCGCTAGAGGAAGTTGGTTGGAGGAGGTTCTGCTTTGCTGAATGACCAGAGATCCCATTTCACTCCCACAAAATCCCAGCCAAGGTGAAGGAATGCAAGAAATATCTGGTATATTCGGTATACCGATTTACCACCGGTTATTAACTGAATATAAGTCGGTATACCGATAGCTGGATTTCCCCTACCGCATACCGATACCGCCGGTTAACGATATAACCGTTAACCACCAGTTAACAATACAACCGGTACCCTCCAGTTATCGGTTCATAATCGGTTATACCATTAACCGGCTAACCGATTACCACCCCTATAATATATCACTGTCAATATATGGTATGAAAGTGGTATGATATCATAGTGGGATGATGCATATATAATACTGGTATAATGTTGTATGATAATGATAAGATGTTGATATGAGATTTTATGATTGAGAAATTAATTTGATTATATCTTATCATGGTATTATCACTATGGTATAATAGTTATTTTAGAGAAAGTCATTATTCTGTTGTCTATTTAAGTTTCTCCAATACTTTTACTTTTCCTTATCCTAGCCATTCTACCATTGTCATCACTCATCACCACAAACTTCCTCTCTCTCTCTCTCTCTCTCTCTCTCTCTCTCTTCCTACACTTTCTCTTCTCCCTCATATGAAATTCTATTATTCTCCTTTTTAGATCTGGTGATCAATTTCTCCATGCAACAGTCAAATTAATATTTTCTCTATCTCAATGATCTCATAATAGGTGAACTTATAAACAAAATAACGAAAACAATAGTTTGCAAGGAAGAAAAAGCATCGTGTCAACGATCGTTGATTCGGAATCAGAAGCCGATAAAGCGACTAGCTGGCCACGACAAAAAGTGTTTTTCTTTGCTTTTTATTTAACTCAGTTCATCAACAATAGTTTGCAAAAGGGAAAAGGAAGGGATTGCATTGTCAATTTTATGGCGTTGGAAGGCAATATAATGACTAGCTAGACAAGGAAGTTCTCTTTAATCTATAAATAAAATTCATTACTTCAGGAGATATGCAAAATTCCGGATATAATTCGCGCTACAATAAACCGTAATCCTCAAATTATCAAAGGTTTGTGACAAAAGCTTGTTTTCGCGCTACAATTTGGGAGCGGTGATGTTCCACCCACAAATTGGGTGAGCTAAGTTGAGACAATGCACTCTAATATTTCTCTCACATCTTGCACCCCATTTTGGGCATCAAGTGACAAAGGAGTTTTGCAACTAACAATGACTTCCCCCAATCCGATTATCCTCGTCATAGAGGAATTAGTGAGCACATGCTCACATAGCTGCGATGGTGCCATGCAACCTCCAGAGAACTAGACGGCCCAGCAAAAAAAGGCTTGGTTATGCAAGGATAATGAATGAGGAGAGGAGAGGATCATCCCGTGAAGCCAAGCATCTCGTTTGTGAGAGGGAGGGTCCCACAATTCAAACGGAGAGAGATCATTAATTGATTTTATTACTCTCTTTATCTCCCTCACTTTTTCCTTCCATCAAGTTTCATCCTCTCCTATTTGCTATTCTAAACCCCACGAATGCCACCGCAACCCGTCTCTAACTCCGGCAATACTCGGGTCGTCGGCTGCCAAAAAAGGGACTAGAGGAGCGCGGAGTGATGGTCGACATCTTCCATCTTCCAGTAAAATGCTTCTCTTATGCTCTGCTTCTTTCTCACACCCAGAGGTAGAGAACACGTATTTAGACCAACAAACATTTGTCACAAATGAACAAGTATTTATAGGTATCGAACAAGTAATTATTAATCATCAAATAAGTATTCAAAAGTGTTGAACCAGTATTCAAGAACTTTAAACAAGTGTTCCCATCTCCGAGAGCAAGGAAAAGACACAGGTCCGCCTTCCCCATTATTGAGAGGGACTACTTTTGCTCTGGCTTAATAGGAGCACAAGGGTTTGATCGAGCTGAGAGAATTTTTGACAAGCGGAGAAAGAGGCCAGGGCCGTTGAAGGATCCAGGAAGGAAGCTTCAAGACTCACAACTTGGTACAACGAATGGGAATTATTTTGTTAGGATTTCCCTAAATCAAATACTTATTCATATGTTTATATATGATATGTGATTGATATTTTGATTTTGACTTTTTCGGTAACTAAAACCCAATCTTCTAGGCAAAACACCTTTATGATGTAGCTATTTCCTGATTTGATGAAGTAATTCAATTCTTTCTTTTCTTCCACTCTCTATAGCATAGGAGAGGAGGAGGAGGAGCTCGATGAGGATGGCTTCATCATCTATGGTGATTTCTTCCATTTCTTCTTTGTTTAGCTAGCTTGATCGATTTAGGGTGTAATTTGATGATGCTTTGTGTACTATTTCTATGATTTAATGAGATACCTACTGTGTTTATTATTCTTATCATCAATGCTTGATGTCAATCTATGTTTGTATCATCTATTGCTTAAGTCATTTTATGCTATGATTATTAGATGCTTTAGTTAATTGATGTTTATGATTCTATTATATGCTATTATATGCATTGTGCTTATTTTTATCTAGGTTGTCAAGAAATTACAATTTAGTGATACCCCATTGATGCTAGGCATCTATGGGAGAAGTAGCTAACCATCCATGAATCGACTAGTATCAATGCCTAACTCTTAGATCATCAATTCTACCATTGATTATGGTTCGTAGAAGCCCGCAATTAATCAAGTGATATCATAAATTCCTTGTTCTTCAATTATTAGATAATGCATGACTCGAAAGCACATATTAGCTAGTCAAATCTCGATCGCAAGAGGCGGATGCACGAGTAGAGAGTGGCCTTTGTGGAAGGGATAGGACATCTTAATAGAAGAAGCATTGAAGCATCTTGTTAATTATATTGAATGCATGATCATCTTTAATTACTACCCAAACATTAATTTTTGTTCCTTGCATTGTTTGTTTTCTTGTTTGCATTGCATTGTTTGTTTGTTTTCATTCTAGCATAAAAGAGTAGAAGCACCATCAATGGGCACCTCAACCCAAATCATGTTTACCTTTCCTCGCATCTCAATTCCAGCTCAATAGGGTAGGTTTGAGTGATTACTATCAAAAGAACTCGTGGAATACGACCCTAAGGAATCCTAGGATTTATAACTTGATTTACTACATCAAGTTTTTTGTGCCATTGTAAGGGTTTTTATAGTATTTGAAAGCAACTAGCCTCTTTTGCTCGACTACTTTGGAAAGCTATTACCTCCTTATTTGTTTTTGTCATGTAGGAATCATACCTTAGGGAAGCATTGCAAGGCGTCCAAGGATGAAAGAAAGCAACGTCGAGCCTCTCCTACTTCGTTTCTATCAAGATATGATTCATGTTGATTGGAGTAGAGAGACATCAAATCAAGAAGATCAAGAGCTAATACGAGAGACAAATAGAGAGAACACTATTATAGCAAATATGGCGCAAGTTTCTGAATTTCTTGATGCAAGACGCCAGTTCAAGTCAAAACCTCCTAGGAGCATCAATGCTAGCATCAAAGATGAAGGGCTAAATAAACTAGTAGAAGCTGTTCTCATAACACCCAAAAGGAGTTATTTAACCTCCATTTATTAGGTGTTTTATTGTCATATTGAGTATGAATTGATTTATAAAACGCCATTTGTAGCCTTGATTGTTTTCTTTTTGTTTTATCATGTAATTTAAGGTTGCATTTGATATTACAAGCGAAAAGGGAAGAAAATGGAGCTAATGTGTAGGAAAAGGAGGTGAAAAGAAGCTAGCTCAAAGATCGCAGCCTAAGGAGTAGGATCTCGGCTGAGAAAGCAACCTGTGAATCAAACCAGAGGATCATGGGCCGCACCTAGAAGATCGCGAATGCAATCTTTGGACCCATAGGCTGGAACTTGAGGATAAAACATCAAAGAATGGGCAAAGAGTTGTGGAGGCGGATCGAAGGCCACGCTGAAAGAAGCCACGATAAAGATCACGGCCGCGAACATAAGGTGCAATCTCCCACTCTGCCAAGACTGTTCGATGAAGCTTAAGATTGTGGGTCAGCACGGCCAGATCACGACTATGATGTTTCAGCCCTTGGGCCTATAAATAGAAGAGTTGCGGTACTTGTAAAAGGGAGCTGACTTTGAGAGAGAAAATTAGGATTTTGTGTTGTCTTTAGAGAGAGAAACACATTGGGAGAGCTTAATTGAAGATCCAATCCACCCAAGGAGCAAGGTCTAGTAGGTGCAATCCAAGGAGAAGAAAATGCTTTCCACCATTCCTTCTCTTCTTAGTTTGTCTTTTCTCTCTCTCTATGACTTGAATCTCTATGGTTGTTTCGGAAGGATGAAATCTAGTTTATAATTTGTTATGGGTTTGTATATGGATTTATTTGTTTTAGTGATTATATGGTTCATTTATACTTGATTATGCTTGGGTTAGTCTCCCAATTCTTCTCTACCAGCCTACAACTGATATGCAAAACTAGGTGGGAGTTTTAGGGTTAGACTGGTGAGCGCCTTAAGGCTAATTGGAGGTAGATGAATGATACTAGGGCTCCTTCTAGTGGACGAGGCGAGCGAACCCCTGCTAGAGGAATGCCTTCCTGAAAGAATGCTAGAGATGATGCAAGCGCCATCGATCCATCACTTTGGTGTGCATGATAGGTTGAACCTATTGAGAGGAACTAGTGGTCATTCTTCAGTACGTGATCTTTGACTAAGGTGAATATGGGTCTCTGGAAGCATACTAGGAGGAGCAAAGTAATCATTGAAACCCTCACTTTAGCGAGTTCTACATCTCATTCTACACACCACAAACTATAGCTAGGGGAATTGAATCCTGTGAAACCATATCAGTTCTAGTAGTCTTCCAACCACTTGGTTGGTTGTTTGTTTTGTTTTTAGTTTGGTTAGATTAGACACTTCACCCAACTTTGCGATTTGATTAGATAGTAGTTTGAAGTGAAGTACTAATAAGCTTAAGGTTCCCTTGAAATACCATCGAGCCACTTTACTACATCCCTAGCTTAGTTATACTTGGCTTTGTTAGGATTGACAAGTGAGTGTACTTCGATTTATAAATTTAAAGCTCAATCCAAAGCATATGTTCACATCATCGACGAGCCTCCCGAAGCCAATCAAGGAAGTTCCAATGAAGTGCATGAAGGTTTTGACGAGGTCAAGGTGCAAGAAGGACTTATAGAGAATAAAGATTTTGTGAACCATGGAGAAGATGAAGGTCATCTCAATCCCAACACAATAGCCAAGGAAGAAGATAGAGAGATCATGGATCATGGAGAGGAGGATCAACATGAGCCCAACAAGTTCAAAGAAGAAAAAGATGAGTGTCTGACTCAATCTTCAGAAAAAGAACATATGAGACACCTCAAGAAGATGCAATGGACGAAGAAAGCTACTCACAACTTGATGAGAGCATTTTACACGCCTTTGAGACCATGACCAAGCATCTTCAACCTATCCAAGAAGAAAAGGATGATAAACCTATCAAATAACCTCAAGAAGAAGAATAAGAAGATCATAAAGAGAACAACAAAATTAATCACGAAGATGATGATCTAACAAATTCTGTAGAAGGAGAGGATGAGATACAACCACTAGGAGTAGCAACGGAGGAAGAAGGATGCAACATTGAAGAACTTGAACTAATCCAAACCTTTTTGGATTCGTGGGAAGGTGTTGAAGGCTTCACACCACTTGAAGGATTTGAACACTTCCTGTGCCTTCTTCAATCTAAATCAAAGAGTATTCCACCCAAAGCATTCAAAATCCCAATTTAAATCTTAAAATTCTATGATTTTACTTATCTGTTTCGATTCTGATTTGACTATAAACTCTATGGACCTTAAAATCATACACTATTCACGATTTTACGATTCAAATCTTTGGGTTAATTTTACTTTTTCCCCAAGAATTTGCAAAATTACGCCTCTTGTCCTTCTCCTCCCCAAACATCATCTAGTTCTCGCACACTAACCACCATCGACCACCTTGATAAATTGGAGCATTAACCTTGAGAAATTATCATTGTAATTGTTGTGTTTTTGTGTTATTCATGCTTTTCCAGATTAATATTAGTTTGTCTTCATTTTTGTATGGACCTTAAAATCCTACCATTTTACGATTCCAATTTTACCCCCCTTTTCGATTTTATGTAAAATCCCGATTTGACTACTAAAATCCCACCTACTTTAGATAATACTCTATGCATATAAAAACCGAACTTTGTAGTGGAAGGACCCCTTCAAGATCCCTTTACTGCGCAGAACTTTGAACAATAAGAAGTAAAGTAAGGGTTGAGCAAGAAGAATTTACCATTTACAAGGTCACTCTTGTAAGAAGATGGAGGATGATATTCCTAAAGTTGGAGACCATGAAGAAAATTATGAAATCTTGGTGGTGATGCTTCAAGGAATCAAGTCAGATCTCAATAGACTTCATGATGAAGATTCGTACGCATCATTTTTGGAGAGCAATGAGATCGTAGCGTCATATATAACCCAAAGAGGGAATACACGAGTCCCTCCTTCTATCGTTACGTCTACCACATGCCTAAAATTCAAAATTCAAATTGTGGGGTGAAAGATGCAAGGTGGAGGATAAGGCGGCTACTACTTCATTGTCCACTATCAAGCTAAAGAAAGAAGAAAGATGGTGCACACTTGGAGTCTGCAATAAAGACGATTGACTTCAAGGAAGCCTTAAGATGGTACACACTTGGAGCCATGGTACAACTTGTAGCTTTGTGGAAGAAAGTAGTATTTCGATCTTCAGATTTCAACCATAATTCCATGGACTTTTGCCACCATGAAATTTCTTCAAGACGAAGGTCACTAGCGAGCTGGTTCTTTTCAGGCAATGTTGTACATGATCATCAATTGCTTATAGGAGCTAATTCTTCACGGATGTCAAACTCATTAATCTTAGAAATAAGGGTCTTTATTATCTTTTTTTTACAAGTCCAAAGACTTCTCTATTCCAGCTTCTGATGCTCGACTTAGTTAGTTTCATGTTGTGGATCAAACGAATTTGGTCCCCAGTTCCAGGGGGATCAAATTATCAATGCTTTCAAAGAGGGATGTTGATGTGACTTGAATCGGACTATCAGCCGCTACGACTTGGGTTCGGGTTCTGGGCCTGGTCTGTAACCGTTTCCTTTGGCAGATTGGATTAGGTTTAGACCCACATGGAGAAGTACTATAAATACTTCTCATACTCCTCTGTAATCTGTAATCTCCTCGATATAGTAAAACTGGCTCTCTCTCGCCTGTGGACGTAGCTAACACACATCGTGTTAGTGAACCACGTAAATCGTGTGTCTGTGTTTTCCGATTCTCGTATTCATATTCTTGCTTTGTCGATTCCATCGATTTTCCAACCCGTAGCAGCGCGTTTATAACAAGTGGTATCAGAGCCGCGGCTGGAAATCAGGCTAGGGTTTTCGATTCAGAAGAATGACGTCGGTGAACATGAAGATCGAAAAGTTCACGGGGAAGAACAGCTTCGCTATATGGCAGATCAAGATGCAGGCTTTATTAAAACAGCAAGGGCTGTGGGGGCCGCTGTCTGCGAAACAGAAGAAGGTAGCGGTCGATGACGATGAGTGGAATACCCTGGAGGAGAAGGCCCACCTGACCATCATGCTATCGTAGTCTGATGACGTCATCATTGAAGTCACTGCTGAGAAGACTGTCGCGGGCTTGTGGTTGAAACTGGAGAGTCTGTATATGACGAAGTCTCTAACCAACAAGCTGCATCTAGGGATGGCAAAAATATCCGTAACCGTGGATATCCGCCCGAATCCGGCCTAATCGGGTAGGGTAAAACCCGAACCCGAAGGACATTTAGTGGGTATGGGTAAAACTCGAACCCGGATATTGCGGGTAATGGGTGGGCATGGGTTTCACACTATCCAACCCGAACCCGCCCGATTATACACATGCACATGTATTTTGTCTAGAAATAATCATTATTTTTCTCTAACATATTTTATATTTATCATATAAATATAATATTTTCATGAAATTGTGTTGTTTTAATTAATTTTCTTCATTCTCGTGAAGTATTGTCGTACTTTTCCTCTTACGTAATGTGAGAATACATATGAATGTTAACATATTGGTTGGAGTTATGAAGAGAAATTATTACCCATGAATAACCGTGGATATCCGAAACCCGAACGGGTATGGGCATGGTTTTGATTTTCTACCCGTTTCACATGTGGGTATGGGCATGGGTAAAACCCGAACTACTTTGGGTAGGGTAACGGATATGCACTATCCGTCCCCGACCCGACCCATTGCCATCCCTGCCTGCATCTCAAGCAACGGTTGTTCAGCTTGAGGATGCAAGAAGGTACGCCTTTGAGAGAACATCTCGAATAGCTTAACTCTATTTTGCTGGATCTGCGTAATATAGATGTTCAAGTTGATGACGAGGATGCTGCCCTAATTATGCAGGTTTCTTTGCTGAGTTCATATGAGAATTTCGTTGATTCTTTTATTGCCGGTAAAGAAAGCGTGTCGTTGGAGGATGTCAGGTCTGCTCTTCATACGAGAGAGATCAGACATAAGGCGTCCGGATCTGGTACAGGTGGTGAGGCATCGGGTTTGACTGTTACAGGTGGAAAGGGAAAGAAGAAATCTGGTAAAGGG